AGTAAGATTGTAAAAAGTATGGATTTGCATAAAATGCCTTATTCATTTGCCTGCCATAATGAATGAATGCCTTTTATTTGGACTAGGGAACTTCAGCTAAAAAATACTTGAACAATTCCCAGCGTATGACAGCTTTCCAGCAATTCTTGTTCTACCCAGGCACATGACTGTTTGAAAGACTATATTGTAGAAGGATTACATACTTGATACTGACTAGGGTCTCAGTCCCCCTTCTCCCAGTGTGGCATCCTTCAGCATTCCTAGCTAATGCATCAAGTATAGTCTCAAGTATTTTCCCAACTGGATTGTGGAAAAGCTGGTTTTAATGCTTCATGGCAAGATGTTAGCTATACCAGGGGGAAAAAAAGACTTTAGGATCCGCTAGCCCAAAGAAAGGTGTAGAAAGCACGTACTTAGGAATTTTAAGCTGAGGAGTTTGTTTTCAGTTTTGGAACCAGGCCTTGCAGGCCAATCAACACAAGCTTGGGTTACCCCAAGCTTTCCTCGGCCCATTGCAAGATTTCATCTAGATGGAAAGGGCCACGTGGTCTTTCCCATTGTTAACGTTTTGGAAAATGCTTGCCAAATTGCCCAGAGATCCACTAGTGCATTTTAATTACCTTCTGCTCACCATGGCTGAAATAGTATTAGAAAAAGCAGCCGTTCCCTGTCCACTGGACTAGCAGTAGGGAATCATTTACTTGCTGCCATCTGTCTCCAGGTTGCTGGCACTGGAAGGTCGGTGGCTGTATAAATGAGTTTCTGTGGACCATTTTGTGTTTCATTCAGACAAACATTAATCTAAGGTTGTGGTAGAAGTGAAAAGTAAACAGCCATCCCAGCAGAAGAATGGGGACAGAAATCAGGCATAGAAAAAAATCCCACTGTGGATCTAGGAAAGACGGCAGGTCCCTTTTCACCTGCCTTCGGTGGATTTTCTGCTTTCATTCTGTCCCTGGAGCCATGAGATCTAGCTAGCAACTCCCCAAACCCTTCTGAGTCTCCCTTTTTTGCTTCGTGTTTTCCAGAGACCAGGAGCTGGCTAATTTGCTGCACAAGAAGCAGTTCCTGAAAGCTCTGGGCTTGGCGATCTCCCTGGACCGGCCTCATACAGTGCTGACAGTTGTCAAGGGTGAGACCTCGTTCAGAGGGAGCCCGGAAGGGGTTCACTTTCATCTGGCTCCAGCCTTCCACCGATCCCCCGAGTCCCACTCGGTGGCCAGATGCTGCTCGTGTGTCCCTAAGGAGGCCTGATCAACCTCCAGAGGCTTGGAGAAGCCAAACGTTACGTTTTCAGGGCCAAGCAAGGAAGTTCTCCCGGGTTTCAAAATACATTTGTTGCGTATATGAGCTATTCAGAAATATTGTGGTGTGTTTGTATGTATGTATGTGGGTATGATGTGTGGGTGGCAGTCTATCATAATTACCAGTTTGCTGGATGGTGCAGTATTCACTTTTTAAGAATAAGGTTGTTGCCAGCTTCCCTTTAGTTAGGGGATTTCCCCACACAAACATGTGCTTGTGCTCATAGTGACCCCCGCCTCTTCAGGATATCCTGCCATCCTGAAGAAGCAAAAGAAGGCATGTTTACAGGGTCCCAGGCTCGATGTGAAACTTTGAGTTTAGCTTAAGAGCCACTCTAAATGTTGCCAGAAAATCATGATTTTTAAAGTTATGGAAGGGCTACACAATTAAATACACAGGAAGCAAAAATATTTATTCTATTTAATTAAATCAAATTTAATTTTGTCCTGAGATGACCCACTTTTGTTGTGACCCTGTTTTCTTTTGAAGTATATCCCCTGGTGCATCATCTAAAGGGGCAGCCATGGTTCTCGGTCCCAAAACGTTGTGCACATTCAAGGACACTAAGGGAAGGGAAGGGACACCTGCAGCATACTGCATGTGAGAATCGGCAGCCTTGTTGTGCAGTCACACTAGTTTGTCCCACTCACCCTTGGAAAGCCTCTTGCCAAGAGCGTGATGGAGGGTGGGTGTCTTTCTCAAGTAGGAGGCAGGATCGCAGGTGGTGTTGGCCTTCAGGAACTCTTCATTTTTTGTCCCACTGTTTCTGTCCCCTGGGAATTCGATAGTGATCGGTTATTTTGTCTCCCTCAGCCATTCTAAAGGAGCCTGGCGGGAAAGAAGACTTGGCAAAGAACTTGACGAAGTTGCGGAAAGACCAGAAAGGTCAGTTTGCACCCTAGTGGGACAGCTTCTAAAAGTGTGCTTCTGTGTGCACATGAACCTTTGCATCTATATAAGCGCATGCAGACATCTGTGTGTGTGTGTGTGTTTGTGTGTTCACAAAAGATAAACAAGGCAGTTCACAGCAGGTTCTCTTGTTTCCAGACTTCTGTCTTTTTTAATGAAAATTAGCCCTTTGGAACAAAAGACCATTGAGCAGCTTAACCTTTGCCCCTCCTTTTTTTTTTTGGTTAAAGACTACTACCCGCACTGCAGGCTGGCTTGTGGTCTCCTCTCGAGGAGCAACTGTTTGGAGCTCTTGTGGGCGATCTCAAGTCCTCTCCTTGTCCAGAGAGGAATTACGAAGAGCCGTCCACTCGCCAGCTTTTCATTGCTCTCCGGTCATTGGCTCCACTTTTTGCAGAGCCATCTTCAGTTTGCCATTTCTTTCCCGGAAGTCGAAGAGCTCCACTGTCCTGTAATTTGTGGTGTTGTTCCCAACAGTTCAAAAATGTAAACTGCCTGTGGTGGCATCTCTTAACCGAGAAACAGTCTTCATGTGGGAAAGAATAAACAAGTGCTTATGAGCAAGGAAATAGTGAGAGGAAGAGGGATGAAGCTTTCATTAATGATAATAGTAAAACCCTCAGGAATATCACATCGGCCAGGTATCATCTGGGGCTGACTCACAGCTGGAAGGGAGGAAAGAAGAAAAGAAAATTCACTTTCACTGTGAAATTCACTGTGGCTCAAGGATTGCCATTGTGGGAGATTGTAGCCCAGGGCTTAATCTTGTTTTATTCACTAGGCAGCTTTCACACTTCAGCTTCCTTGCTTTAAAAAACGGAGGCAAGAGGCATATCCAGATCTGGCAACCCTTAACAGGGCAGGTATAAACTCAGCATGTCCTCATTTCCTAATGTGTCTTTCTCATTCTTTTTTCCCCCAGAGGCTGTTCTAAAGTTTTCTGTCACTTGGAACACCAACACACGGAATTGCCATGAAGCTCAGGCAGTGGTTGAAATCCTCCTCAAGCATGAAAGCCCAGAGGATCTCTTGAAGTACGAAGGGATCAAAACTGCGGTGGAGTCCCTCCTGCCATACACAGGCAAGTGGCCCCTCTCTCTGGGAATCAAAACGCAAATGACTTCCAACTTCGTCAATAAATGACAGCCCTTGTTTCTCCAAGCAAAGAAATCTGTGCCTAAATAGGGTAAAAGCAGCTTTGACATTAACAGCTGAAATGTGTATTTACCAAAATACAGAATATACAAGCAGTGGCTCAGTTCTTCTTCCCATCCTGCTTTGGGACAGTCTTATCACAACCTAACAACGCTCTGTTATCTGATTAGTCTGCATGTCTGGACTCTTCATCACTCCATTAGCTACTGAGTTTGCTACATTTAAACCCAGTGTGGCTCAGTGAAGTTCTTCCAACTTCAAAGCTTGAGGTGATTTGCTGCAACTTCAGTAGACCCTGTTTCACTCTTGCTCATGCCCTCTCTTCTCTTATTAATACTTACTGTACTGCATTCCTATTCCAGCTTTCTTTGAAGAGCTCAAAATAGCATGTCTAGTTCCTTCTCAACTTTATCATCAGAACACTGTAGCAAGGTTGAACAAAGATGACTGGCCAAGACTACTTAGGTGTAAGCATGATGGTTCAGGAAGGATTTGAACTGGGGTCCTCCTATTACTAGATGGAATGTGGTGTGATGAGAGGCTTCCTTAGAAAATGAGCTCCTGAGGATTGCCACCTGCCTTTTTGCTGGACGGGGGAAGAGAAGAGTCACTTGTTGATTGAAGAAGCCACATTCCTCTGGTTTAAGCCTAGGCTTTAGGACTTTGCAAGCAGAGTAGAAGTAACAATTTGTTGTATTCATCTCACCAGACTGGGTTTATTTTGAACAGTTTGTGGGATAACTAAGAGCAGGAGGTACAACATGGACTGGGTATTCTAACACTTCCTGTGTGATCACTCAGTGATTTGTTCTGTGGGTTTAGCAGCCTTTCCCTTCAGCTCTGCTGACGGGCATAAAGGAAGAAGCTTTCCAAATCCTGCAAAGAGTCTCTGCCTTCATGACCTCACTGTGAAAGAGGCTGGGAAATTCTTACATTTTCCAAAATTGTGTATTTGCCTCTAATTCTAGCATTAAAGAAACATTCCTAAAATCTGTGTAGTTCTAGTGTTCTTGGTCTTGCCCAGTTGTGTGGGGCTTGACCCCTTGGTACCTTATGCTGTCTGAAGCAAACAATATATGTAGGACAGTGACACCTCCCCACTCCCATTTTCAGCCTTTCAGGTCAAGGGAAATTCAGGCGGGCGGGTCCTATTTGCTCTTACACCATCCCAACTGCTCAGTGAGACTATTTATATGCAAACCAGCTTTTTCCCACAGGCAAAAGTTAGTTTCTGCATCACTAACCTGGTTTCAAGATGGATCTACGTGCTCCACAGATGCCGAAGGAGGCTTGGGGCCTTAGGGTGTTAGATGAATTCTGATCCTTCAAGAAAGGCCCCACCAGGGTAAAAAAGTTTCTCCATGTGGACTTCCCTAGATCCAAACCCAAGAAGGCATTTCCCCCTGCAGCTTCCTGTAGCTCCAGGGGAGGAGGAATTCCCAAACAATTAGATTACAGCTTGGGGGCTTAGGTCTGTCCAAGAAAGCAAACATTAAGGTTTTTCATTATTATGTGATCAAAGAATAATTATGTAACTTTCAATTTTCTTGGAGAAAATTAATATGTTACAATATTTGCTTGGATGTGAAGCTAAATATCTCTCCGCTGAAGTTTTTTTCTCAGTCTTGGAAAAGGTTCCTAAACGGCTGCATTTGCCTTAATCCCCAGCTGGCAGAGCCAAAGGCTGGAAGATACTATGGGTCCAACACATCTGAAGGATGTCATGTTAAGAAAGATGCAGGGGCATCCACAGCTCTGTGTGTGTGTCAAAGAAGTCAAAATGGTGGCTTTGTGTGATTGAAGCTCTGCATATCTTATCAATTCTTTTCAAATACTGCTGGCCATAGGATCCAAATTAACAAAGTTATAATTGCATGCAGAGTATCTGAAATTAAAGAAGAAATTGCCTAGAAATATGTGATCATGGAACAATTCAAAGAAATTTGACCAAGTTGGTTGATAATTCTTCACTTTGCTCCTTGTTGGAAAAAAATTGAGTTCAAATATTGACAAGAGACATGTATACAGAATTCTTTTCTGCAATCCACCAATAGATTTATCCATTCAGTGCTGGTCCCTGCTTAGTGCTCCTATCTCTTGGTTACAGTCGATTTCCTACAGGAAGGATGTAACGGTTTCAGAGTTATATTGAAAGTTCTACTTATTTCAGAGCAAAGATTTACTTCTGAGTTTATGCCAACAGTCATAGTTTGGAAATGCCTTATCTACAGAGCACCCAATTGTCCCTTTTAAGAAGCTTCTGTGTCTTCTAGAAGATCCTGGAAAGAATTCTGAAATGGTGGCAGCCACATTTGCTATCTCTCATCACTCATGGAGGTAGCCAAGCCTCCTTATCCTACCACCACTGAGAGCACCACCTTACATTGCCTTTGGTGGCATGTTGTCAAATGAGGGGGAAGCAGTGTTCCCCTGAAAGAACTGTTGATAAATTTGGACACCTGCCTTGAAAACCATCAATTCAAGGTGAGGCTGAGTAGGCAGCCAACCATTGGCAAGGATGGCGTGCACTTGCCTGTTTTCATTCCCCTTTTTTCTCTTTGCAGAACGCCACTACCAAAGGCTGGGCCGGTTACTCCAGGCCTCCATGTTCCTCGATTTCATGTGGCAAAACATGAGGCTGGCTGAGGCTCCCAGGTGGGACGAAGACATGGAGACATGACTACTGAAGCTCATCTGCCAGTACTTGCCCACATCCCAAAACAGGTTGACGCTCCCTCATCAGCAATGTTTTAAAGAATGTTTTACATAATAAATTGTTTATTTATATAAACAAACTTGTCCCTCATTTGCTGGGCCATACAAATTCTCCACCCCAGTGTCTTTTAAAAAATAACACACTTAATTCCTCAACAGTACAATTTTTTCACAGAGGAACAAAACTACATAGCTTCACATCCACTAGTTTGGGAGGGTGATGGAAGGCATGGCTTAGTTCACCTAGCATGCTAAGCCCTGACGGTTTTAACCATAGATGATTGAACAAGCCACAGTTGATACGGTTAGAACACCATGCTAAGCCAAAACCAAACAAACCAAATGATGTTTTAGCACAATGCATGAATCAGGCCTCACTTCTAGAGGAAGATGTCATGGCCATAAAAGCAGGGAAGATATTTTGGAGAGCTGAGCTCCCGTTGGCCTTACTGTGTATCCTCAGGGGTGGTAGACAGGTTAGGTTGAGATGAAACAGACCTAAGATGGGGATAATAGCAAAGGAGTTTTGTCTTGCTGTACCTGCCCCCATCTCTTGCAGCTGTGATATACAGGAGCTTAGAGATGGCCTCAAAGAAGGAACACAGCAGCTGTTAGTTTAACACCAGCTTAGCCCAGAAACAGAGGATGGAGTGAGGAAGAAACTCAAGATTCCTCACTTTGATTCTCTTTGGTATAAGAGGGGAGAGAAAGTATCTCGTCAAGCTTTCAAGGATCTGTTGTTATACCCTTTAACAGTAGAGTTCCAGTAGTCCTTGTGGAGTCTGTTTGATGACCTGGCCTACCTTGAAGGGCTACGTTCCGACAAAGAGCACCAGGAGGAGAACCACCCACCACGCAGTCTAAACAGTCACAGCAGAGCACCGCTTCTGTGCTCCCAGGCTTACCCCATCAAATTCAGTGGCTCTCGTGCTCATTTTTTGTAGAGAACATCAATTAGCCAGATTGTCTTAGCGTGCTTTGTTTATTTAAATTTAGATGTCTAACAGCAAGTTTTACAGCTTACAACTTTAATATACACACTGATAACTGTTCATAAATAGATGAAGTTATTCACTGCAACAGAAGAGTTTTGGCTCTGCAGGTAACAGAAGTGACAGTGCAGCACGGACCACTGTGTGTTTACTCGGGAGGAAAGGCTGTGCATGAAAGGCAGTGTATTGACTTTTTTTTAAATAGGAAGAGACAAGGTGACTTTCCAAAGAAATTGCAAACTAAGGCAGTTGTTTTAATTTTCACACGCGGATTGTTTAGAATCTGAAAAGACAGCATATTAGCTACATGCAGTTTTATTAATTCATATTTGTAATATGCCTAATAACCCCCAAACCTCTGGGCAGATACAAAGTTACTAAAAATATTAAAATACATTAATAAGTAACACAGAAAGGAATATAGTAAAATAAAAATACTCAATTGCCTCCATTCCAGTATATTATGTTAGTTAATTTTAAATAAATATCTTTTGCTGACCCCACTTGGATACAGCAGTGAACAACTAGTGGATTTTGATAGTTGAGTAGAAAATAGGACTACCAGAAAAGCCAGTTCTACCTGCCCGTATCTTTTGTTCAGGCAGAAGTAAGTTAAGCTCCATTGTAGTCCTTCACAAGATGTTCTCGGTGCCCACAAAAGAATGCCTGCCCCATCTGGCGAGGCCAAATCGCACCCCATTGCAGTCAGTGATGTCATCCAGCCTGATGAAAAATGTCCTCTCCTTTCCATTCAAGCGACTGGCGTCTAAATTAAAGTTCTTAAAGTGGATGGTGCTTTTAGCTTTCAGCTGGCTCTCGCTTTAGGAGAACTGAGGTGTGTCTCTGGAAGAAGGCCCTCCTTTTAGCCACTTCAGCCAGCTCCTCTGATTATGGAAGGACATTCAAATTCTAACCCTGCATAAAGAACTGGGTGATTCCCTCCACACACAACAGGTATCTTCTACATACATAAATCTCAACCCAGTGACGTAAGATGGCACCTTCTTTGCTTTCCATTTGCTCTCTGGTACTCCTCATGAATACACGTGAGAGCAGGCAGGGCCGCTGGGCTGCTCCAGTGATCTCTGCAGAGCTCTTCTGGTTGGGCTGCTGCATTTCTGGAGGATTTCATGAGGGGAGGGGCGCGGGGGCACAACAGGGCCCCTAGGCAAGGGGCACATACCAGAGGGAAGGGGATGAACGGGGTCCCTAGAAGTCTCCTCTTCAGAGCCTGAATTGTTTTGCTGCTTGCTTACGGAGGAGCTTCCTGGGCTCCCAGGGGTCTGGTGGTAGGACTCTGTGAGGACAATATTGCTCTCAGGATCTGAGGGGCCGCAGAACCCTTGGTCACTCACGTTCCCTGAGCTGCTGGACCAACTGTCTGTCTCAGAGGTTGAACTGGAACTCCCTATGGTGGCAGCTGTAGTCGGAGAACGAACCCCTTTGCCTTCGAGTGATCCAGTGTCTTTGCTTTGCATCATCTGGTTCAGATAAACCTGGTTCCTCTTTTGCTGGGCTGCAAAATTCTTGCTGCTGAGACCAGGGGCTTCTGTGAGGTTTGGCAGGGAGCTGCACAAGGAGCGAGACGCGAGAGCCAGGAATTTGCTGTGAGGGTTTCTGTACGGCTGGAGAAACATGGAGGGAATGAAGCCTGCGGTGCCGTCATACCTGGAAATCCAAAAATGGGAAGGGGCAGGAGGAGAGAGAATCACTTGAGCTCAGTTATAAGGTCAGACCGGTCTGCTTGATCATACTCAGAGCCTAAACTCCAACATAGGATGAATTCCTTCTGGTTTGCGTCAGCAATTGCATCTAAGTCTGTTGCTTCTTAACAACTGCAGAAAGGTATATATGGCATGAGGGGGGACTTCTCCCCCAACCTCTTCCAATAAAAGCTGATTTCTTCTTTAATGGGAGTTATGCCAACGGCCTAATATTTTATCTCTTGCAAAATTTCTACTTTTGGGAAAGAATTTCTGCCTGTGGATCTTTGACGACATTTTGAACTCTCCTTTAGCCCCAGAGAGATTCAGATGTTATTCCACAAAGAGGACATCCCACAGATATTGTTGGAGACTCCAGTTCCACTGGACCATAACTCCCATCATTCCTCAACACAAATCATGCTGCTGAGGCTAAGAGTTCATCAACCTGTTGAGGATTTCATGTGGCCTTTCCCTGCTAGTGAGAGGGCTTTGCTGGGTCTTCCTCCCTGACTGCAAGGCTGAACCATTTTCATTCTTCCAGTATCCCATGCTTCCCTAATTGTCCTCCAAACCCATAGAGCAACACAACAGTCACAGGACCTCTGGAGAAGGGATATGTCTAGTCACTCCATTGCTTCTGATGAAGTAAACTCTAGCTGGTGAAAGCTTAGCCCTTTTAATAACATTTGTTAATCTGAAAAGGTGCTACCAGGCTCCTGATGTTTGCTTAAGAGATCCCAGGACTTTGTTTACTAATCTTTCAAGGTAGCAAGTGTAATATTCAGTATTTTTTATCAGGCGTTCAACAACCAGCAGACACTAGGTGGGGGTCTGTCCAATTGACCACCGTTCCATTAGTGTGCCCAGATTGAGTTCCTCACCCCCACCCCACCTGCTGGCTTACTGTGACGGAAGTATCTATGAGGAGGAGAGTGATGTGGGAGATCAAGGCTTGCGGGAAGGAGGGGGGAGGAGGCAAGAGGCAGCACAGTCCGCAGGGGGAGCGTGGGAAGACCAAGAGGTTCAGGATAGCCACTCCCTAGAATCTCACAGGGTAGATCCCCTAGTTGCTGTAGTATAGATTCAGTTTGGCAAGAGGTGTGTCTACAAGGTGTAAACAAATACAGGAACTGTACTCGACTGGACTGTTTCATCATTGTTCTGGGGCTGAGCCTGTCACTTACCAAGCAAGCCACCAGCCACTGTCTGATTTCTCAAGCACTTCCACCACAATCCCAGTCTTGATGGAAAGTTCATCTGGTTCCTTGGCTCTGTAAGCCTGGGTGACATAATACAGCATCCCTGGAAGGAAGGAAGGAAGGAAGGAAGGAAGGAAGGAAGGAAGGAAGGAAGGAAGG